AGATAAAAAGGAGAATTTTAGAAAAAAAAAACTTATTTTTTTTTATGAAACTTAGTTATTTTTTTAGATGAACCTTTTTTTGTTATTTTTTTTCTTTTTCATGTTTTTACTGCACATTTTTTTTCCATGAAAGATATTATAGACAACGGCAGGAATGATTGCATAATATGTGTTTTTTCTACGTCTACTATGACAATGAAAAAGTCAATTCATCAAGTAGTTATGTATTTCGTCAAAATCGATGCGATAAAATTCGATGACAAATAAAATTTTGACATGTGGCGATGCTAGATGATAGATGCATTGTGTTTTTTGAAACTGATTGAAGTATTAAATAACGAGATATGTCCCGAAGAGATCTCAATGAAAAATTGGTTGAAGAAGAACTTGTGTGCTTGTGACGTGATCTGAAACTGTTTGATTCAGGAGATTAAATATAAGGTGAGAATGGAGATTACTGCAGTAAAATTGTACGGGATGTTGGAGAACAAATATCTCACGAATGACCTAGAGAACCGTCTCCATATGAAGCATCGACTATACAATTTTCAAATAAGACAAAGGGTTACTATTGTTAATGGCTTCATGAAGAGTTGGAAGATCTGTTAAATTTGAATGAGAAGATTTTAGATGAAAACAATACCCTCCTTTTATTGAATTTGCTATCAGATGAGCACAAATATTTTACGATGACACTCATTTATGGAAAAGATGGCTTGAATCATGGCAAAGTTACTACAACACTGTTAAATCACAAGTTTCATCAAAGGGACATGAAGTCTGCAAAGATAGAGTCAATTGAGTGATCCATCGATTTTTTTTTTTTTTTTGAAAATAATTTAATCTATATGCATATTAACATAGTTTTGATTTTGAAAATGACATTTTGATTTTTGTAAAAAATGAGACCGAACAATTCACATATATTTCATAGCTTAAATAACTGAACACGATATTACAAGTAATTATTTATCTCGAAGGATAATGATATCTCTCGATAATATACTCAATCATTCAAATTAATAATTTTATGATACTTATTTGATCTGTAAAATTTTCAACTGATTATTCCCCCACCTAATATAAAAAATAGATAGAATATAGATTATCCGGGTCACTAATTCTCCTAAAGGTGCAAACACTCTATAGTTACATCTTAAACAATCGAGATCTTCTGACTTGATTGACAATGACAACGTTTTGTTGAATAAGATGGATACAAAAGATAATCTAGCAGATATGGTCGCGTAGATAGTACCAGTCTAAAAGTTCACACACTGCAAAAGTTTGAAAGTGATTGCCCCAGTTGGGTACTTTGAAAAACTATGCGAGGTTGGATTTATTCGGGAAGGGGGTACGCTGACAACCATCTTCAAAACAAATCTCTTCACACAAAACAAATCTTTTAATTTATAGTATTTTTTACTTGCGACCAAACTATAGATCCCTTCATAAAAATTATTCAAACCTGTAACTTGAAAATATCTAAACTTCAACAAATACAAAACGTCTATATGGATACACACACACACCCATACATAAACCAGAAGACATAAAATGCAAATTGTAACATAAAACAAAGAATAAAAAAATGCAAAAAAATAAAGCCATCACCACACCCAATCTCCAAACAAAACCACATGTAAATCTCATATCAGACATCGGCAGCAAAGCAAAAAGAAGCAATCATGTTGCAGAAAAGCAGCAGGCATGCGGCCATTATTAGCTGCTTAGAAACCGAGATTGTCTTCTCTTCCTCTTTTCCATCATCGCTCTTGCTGCAAGAGGAAGAAGCTCGATCAGGCGCAGTTGTTTGGGAGTGAAGGAATGCAATGGAGATGGGTTGCTGTAGAGCATTTCTGTATTCATATTCTGCCTTCCCTATCACTTGCCTGTAGATCCCACCGCTCTT